CTTTCTTGATCTTTTTTGCCTCTGATGGTGTTGGTACAATAGAAGAAATCCTTTTTTGTCAGTACAATTAACTTCTGTGTTGTCATCCAGCTTTGCTATCAGAGTACCTTTAGGTCTTAAGTATTGAAGTGAAATTTGTCAGGCATTCATGTCCTCCAAAAATTTTCAGAAATAGGAAAAGGCAAAAGCCAGAGATATAGTCTACCATGACAGACAGAGAGGGTCTTGGACTAGGAAATCATGCAGATACATTTTACAACCAGCATAGGAAAATCTGTCTACCTACAGACTAATGGAATTAAAATAAAAGTAGACCAAAGGAATTAGCTCAAAAGGCTATGAGAATTTTTACGAAGGAAACCAACGTGTACTTTCATAAGGATCTTACAAGACCAGGGCAGCCACCAGCCTTTGTGCAAGATGGGATTGTCAGCTTCAGAATGAATTTTTTGTTTTAATAGGAGATTTGTTTTAACCAGAAGTAAACAAATATCTGTCCTCCTGATTCAAGAAACCTAGAAAGCTGAGTAGTAGTTGTTTAATGGGTCATAGCCACTGTTTTTCCTGAGTGCTACTTTTACAATAGTGTTTTCCCTTAGAATAGTGTGTGAAATATTTGTTTCTGAACTTGGTTTGCTAGTATTGTAGTCTGGATCCCTGTTTCAGGCTATAACCAAGGAAATAGGGGTTTACCTGAATAAATGAACAGAAGATGCAATTAAAATAGAGAGTGGGAAAGGTTTGCAATCTTTAGACCATCCCAAAGGAAGATATTTCTTGACATTTCTCAGCTTACTGAACAGTGACAGATGAGCTGATTTAGCTGCAGCAGTTTATAAAATGGCATCACCTGACAGATGCCTGCCCTGCTGGGGTCCCTGCAGATGAGGATGCACAGGCCTTAGTTCACATTAGTTTAAACAGTCCCTGAGGTGGGTTTAATAATCTCTCTAATGCCCTGCTCTGCATCCTGTATGTGTGTGACAACTTTCAGAAGAAGCAGCCCTGTGAGAACAGTAATGTCTTTAAGTCACCAAAGGACCAGAAATTTGAAGCCTGTCCTCTTTTTTCTGTCACACTCACTTTCTGTCTTGACAAAAAGATTTTTAAATTAGGATGGATGTTCCCATTAAACAAAAGGGTTTCAAAGCCAGTTGCCATTTAATAGAATTTCATCAAAATTCCTCAGCTTAATGATATGGCCTCTTACTCATGCATGGCATGGCCTGGACTGTGCAGTGCTGTTCCTCTCATGCAATGGCATTCTCAGAGTGTAGCACCTTTCTTTGGCCCAGATGCTCCTCCCAGAGAGCTGGGTCAGGAAGAGAAAAGAGATCTTGAAGCAATCTTTTCAGGTCTCTATCCAAACGTATTCCAACCATGTCTTACTGTAGTTTGAAGAAAGTTCCATCACAATGGACAGCAACGTCAGAGGAAATCTTACCTGTCCATTGTGGCTGTACTCAGTGCTTCTAATTCTGTGTCTACAGTGTAGAACCTGTGCTCAGTTGTCCTGTGCTTCCTTCATAATTAAGGGGAGAAAGTGACCACAGTTCAGTTGTTTTGAGATGTCAGTTTTGTGATGAAAACAATCATTCCCCAGCAACATGTTTTTATTTATCAGTTCTCCATGTCTCATCAGAGATGGTAGCTCAGAAACAGAGATCTAAGTTTGCCTACATGAGTCCTTTTCTCAGAACCTGGAATTTTCTTATTGATGTTTTTAATGAAGATATTTGAAAATCTTTTTCCTTACATGTTTTCTCTTGAGGTGGAAGGTATAAAACTGGAACCTTTCACTGTGATAAGTACACTGATATAGTCTCTATTCAATTAGTGCTTAATATTAGAAGATGGTATTCCTCTAAGGAGGGAGCAGAAAGAACAGCCTGTATGGACTCAATATGATCCTACTTATGCAGAAAACCAATATTACTTTAGAGGACTGCACCATTTTCTAGCTGTACTTTTTCCATCCTAAAGCATCTCCTTTTGCAGAATGAAAATCTAGACTGTATTGTACAGAATATGACCAAAATAGTGCAAAGACTCTGCTCTTTCTCTTGATTTCAGAGGATTCTGGATCTCTGAAAAGTTTAATTGGGAGGTAACTTATTTCTGATGGTAAAAAACCAACCTAGTCCCCGATAAATCCTGATTTGTAGGGTTAATCTACAGAAATGTTTGAAAGAGAGCACAAAACAGCTAAATTCCCATTCATGAGGCTACAAAAGAGAAAGTAAAATTTGAGGTCATTCTCAACAAAAGCAGATACATTTCTCTGATGTAGACAACAGTGCTACCAAAAAAAAGCAACCCTATAAGCAGTTCCAGTACTTTGAGGGAGACAATCCTTCCCCTGTCCTCAGAAATGGAGAGAAGTGTCTGCTATCCTGTGCTCCTCAGTACAAGAGATGTATGGATTTATTGGAGCCAGTCCTGCAAAAGGCACCAACATGTTCAGGGACAGGAGCATACAAGGTACAAGGACATACAAGGACAGGCCAAGAAACCTGGTCTTGTTAAGTCCAGAGAAGAGAAGACTCGGGGGGGGGAGAGTTACTGTCATTTGCAACTACCTTGATTGACAAACAAAGAGAAGATGAAGCCACATCTTCTTGATGGTGAATGGGACGAGAGGCTACACACACGCAAGGTGAAACCTGGGAAATTCTGAATTCATATCAGACAAAAAAAAACAAAACCAAAACCAACTGTGAAGATGGTAAAACCCTGGGACACATTGCCAAAGAGGGAGTAGAATCCATCTCTTCAGAGATGTTCAAGACTCAGCAGGACCCAACACTAAGCACCTTGATCTGATTAGACCTCTTTTAAGTAAGTGGTTGGATGAGGTAATCTCCAAAGGTCCCCACTTAAACTATTCTAAATTTCTAAAATAATGACCAAGTTGTGCTGCTAATATGGAATGCCCAATGGGTTGGTTTTATTGTTTTGTTTTTCTTCTTTTTTTTAAATAGTGTTTCCTTCTGTGTTTTGCCACTAAGTAAATTGTTGCAATACTCTCCCTGTGCTTCAATAATTTGAAGTATCTGGTCTCTCAGAATTTTAATCAATTCAGCTAAGGATAAATTTGATAAAGTACCATGAGAGAAACAGACAAACACTAAAGAACTCAAAACTGAACTAATTGAGTAAGATTTTAAACATCTTTAGTTCACATAATTTTTGAGCCCACCTGCAGGTGCATTTTCCTATTACTTTTTATTTTTAGTTTGCAACTATAGTCTATGCCAAGAAAGGCTGAAAATAGACCTATTAAAATGTAGTCATGCATAACACCATGCTATACCATTGATACAAACTATGAAATTAGCTCACATTCTTCCTTCTGTTCATCAGTGTGGCATTTAAATGCCAGATTAACTTAAACCTAAAAAAAAATCAGCAATGGATTGTAAAAGAGGGCATATTTTTATGACATTGCACATCAATTCACTTCCAATTTTCTATTGTTTCAATAGAAGCATCATTTCTTTATGCTCCCCTTTTCTATAATCTGTAGTGAGAGTAAAAAATATTCATGCTGAGGCTGGAAGTTTTGAAACCTTTGAAAAACAACCAATTCCATAAATTATTATCAGCCATCTCTCTGTGGGTCTAGATGAGCAGTTCCCTTTGTGTCTACCACAGAATGCTAATTAACTTCTTGAAGATTTAAGTGAGAAAGCTCAGGAGAACATCCCAGCTCAAGCTAAAAGGTTCGAAATACAGGTTTTAGGGAAGTCAAAGGGAGAAAATTGCAGGACCTGCATCAGTATGTGGTTGGTGAAGCTTCTCTGTTGCTCCTGGAGATGCACAGATATTTGGACTGTCCAAAAAGGCAGCCAATACCTAACTGTCATGTAAGAATTGTATTCTCACCCCATCAAGTGGCAAACAGTGGTCTAAATTTCAAATTGTCCATGTTTCACAAACTCATGGATTAATAAGTTGTTTTACTTTAAATCTAAACATTACGAATTTCAAATATGAGTAATTTATACAAGAATAAGAATTTTTTGACAGTAGTTAGAACTTCTGATTTATGGTGCCCTAATGCAAACTCATATTATGTTCTAAGGATAAGTGTGTTGTTTGGGAAATGTTTGTGATAACATGCTGTGATCTGTCCAGTTGCATCTTCCCACAAGAGATATACTGATACAGACATTGATCCTGTAGTAAGGAATGGTTCATATTTGTTGACAGGATGGCAATGCCATCTGCATTTTTATTTCACTAATACACATAACAAAGCAAACCATGATACCATCAAGCTATAACCTTTGCAGGAGGGGATAAGAGGATATGATGGAATAGGAAAGTGAATGCAACCAACTTCATAGTCCTTTTCACCCCTTCTCCTCTGCCAGAGAGGGTGTGTTATGAGGAGAGACATTGGCTCCACAGTGGGACGTGTGTGATGGACAGAGATAGATTTCTCTGTTGGACTGTTTGCTCTGAGGGTCTTTTCATGTGGCAACATTACTGGGACCTAATAGTTTTGTTATGGCTTGGGCAAAATGAATGTGTGGAATTAGATACTATTGGATGACACATCTAGCTAGTTAGGTGACTGGGAGGTTGGGATGGTTAAAATCTCTCTTTGTGGCCATCTGCTTTATTAGAACCATAGAACCACAGAATCAGAATGGTTGGAAGGGACCTTAAAGACTCTCTAGTTCCGACCCCCCTGACATGGGCCAGGTTGCTTCAAGCCCCATCCACCCTGGCCGTGAACACTTCAGGGATGGGGCAGCCACAACTTCTCTGGGCAACCTGTTTCAGTCCCTCAACAGCCTCACAGTAAATAGTTTCTTCCTAATATCCAATATCTTTTAGTTTAAAGCCATTACCCCTTGTCCTATCACTATATACCCTTGTAAAAAGAAATGTAAGGCTCTCCGTAACTGGGGTTTTGTGGAAACCTCTAGCACAAGTTGAGACCATGAATTTTAATCTCTGTATTTTATTTTCTTGATATTTTTGCTTTGCAGGGCAGCTTTTATGTCCCATCTGAAAACTGCATGCAGCACGCATACAAATGGCATAAAGACCTCTGTCTTCTGCTCCTGAATGCTCAAAGAGGACTTCACACGTACTACACCCTCATAATGAATGAGATTCCTGATTTGCCACAGCTGAAGTTGGGTAAGTGAACAGACATTTAAAATCACTGAATATTTTACAGTACTGCATTATCAACATGCATTTCAGTACCAAAATTCTTGGGTTCTTTAGAGAATGAAAAGGATTTTCATTTCTATTTTCTGATTAGTATTTATTTTGGCACACTGTCAAAATAAATCCTCAGCTTAGATGGATCCTTTTATAGGATGTGGCCTAATGTGTATAGGGAGAAAATATTTTGATAAATTTCTCAAAATACTTGCCTTTCAGTGATTTTTGGCCTCAGTTGCATTTTGAAAAGTGGAAATTCCAGTTCTGAATGTCCATGAAATCTAGGGAAGACTTTAACATAATTTTTTTCCTGAGTAAACATTTTTTTAAAATTGAAAAGAAAAATCTGAAAGGTGATATGAGTGGTTTTGAATAATATTCTTTTCTTTATAATTCACAATGTATTTCTCCCCTGCCAATTACATCTTGCTCTTCAAAATTATTCTGATTTACTTCCTAATTCAATTGTTTAATAGATTTTCTGGTTTTGGCAGAAGATTTTTTTGGCTGGTCAGGCCTGTTAGGTCCAATGTGAAAATGCTGGTTGGATTTGCTGCATGGAGCTCTGCAATTTGTGTTTAGTCATCTTTGTAATGACAGCATGAGCTCCTATGCAAATGAGAGACATTCCTGACTGATTCCTGCTCTCCCACCTGTTTCTTTGAATTCAAGAACTGTGACCCATAATTTCACATCTGCATTTTTGAGCTGTTGTGTTTCTATGTGCAGGTTTTGAATTATCTGTTTGTTATGTTGCAGAGATAATTACATTTGGGAGGGTCAATTGCATTGGCCAGCAGGTTTTAAAAGGGAGTAAAATGCATTTTCCAGTATAGTGCTTGTATACAAGAACCATCAAACACAATACATTATGCTTCACACACTTATGGACTTGATAGCTCCTATTTTCCACTCCATGTCTTGTTTCCCAACATATATTTCCCTTCAAGGTAGCCTAAAAGTCATAGATAGGGTGGTAAGAGCATATAATATGTTACTCAATCCAGCTACAAGAGGAAAAAAATTACAGCATTTTAATTTGGAATTTATGAGCTCTCAGACAGAATACAACATGAAACAAAACTCCTGCTTCATGCATCTGGATTATCAGGCACATATAATAAAAGATTTGTGGCTCACTCAGGCAGGGTTATAGGTTGGGAGATGTAAGAGTTATGTTTCATTGCTTGACCACAACTCCAGAACTGCCCTAGAGCACAGACAGGTTTTCTAAATAAAATTTGCTTGGATTTCAAATGATTACTGGTACTGAGGCAGGCACTGCATTTGCAAATGTACTTCTTGCAACACATGCAAATTTGCTAAATGCAAATACCCTTTTTAGCCTCTTGAGCAGAGTGCTATTTGTATCATTTTATTCACGGTCTGAAAACCTACTGAAGATTTGATTTTAAGGTTGATCTTCTGACACCTGTTGGAAAACTCAATAAAATCATGGGGTGTAAGATTCACTCAGAGAGATGAACGTAAATCAAATTTTTATATCTGTCTCCTTGCAACTATTGGGGTGAAACAGGTCCATTTAAAAATATGTTATCTAAGATAGGTATTGCTTTCTACTTTTGGGATGGCATGAAATACACCTTGTAATTGCTATATTTATCCACTGACTAGGGGAAAAATGTAAATGACTCAGCTGTAACTGGTAAGAATAATCTCATCATAGGTTTCTACAGAAGTTTAAGACAAATCCAAGACTATAAATCTCTACACACTTCCTTAATTATTTTTTTCCTAGCTCCCTGAGTAGTATATTAAAAAAATAATATCTTAGTTTAGACATTAAAAATTGTAACAATTATTTCCCAAATTTTACCAGCTAAGATTAGGTCTTTTCAAGGTGCTCTGATCTTGGCCTGTCCTTTCCCATTTGTTAGTACTATTTGAGAAGAATCATTTGGGGACTGGGCAGGGAATTGGCTTGTTAGTTGTTCTGCCTTGTTCCTGTTTTGTTTTTCATGGATACTATTAGAAAGTTCCGCATTGCAAAATCAATCTGCCAAAGTTACAGAGTTGATTGATGTCCTCCTTTGCCTTATAGTCCACGGTGAATTTAAAGTGGAGTGTCCCTGTGCTGGATTCTCTCAGGACTGCATCAAAACACTGCTCCTTGATGTAGTAATGAGGTGCTTCAAACTTCCCAAGGCAGTGCAGAAATGCCCAATCTTTTACTAGTCAGGCATCTGGTATCGTTACACAGTCCTTTGTAACATACCAGGAATCACCACTTTCTGCACCTCATCTGCTCAGACTTTGCATTCAGTTCTGCAGTTGGTCATAAATACCAAAGGCTAATAAGAAAACTCCTAGCAAAAGAGAGAGTAGGCAATGAAAAGCCAAAAAAGCCAAATTCTGTTGTCTTTCTCTTCACAACAACTTCTACTGGTCTAGTGGTCTAGGTTTCATGAGCAGAAGTTGCACCTGCATCAGTACAAGGTGGGTTGTGGAGTGCCCATGTCCAAATAGGAACTTGCCTGTCAGGCAAGTGACAATTGACCTCATGAATAAACATGAGGTCATAAATTGACCTCACATGAATAAACACCAGAGCATTAACATTTCACGTCTGCTGTTCTCAAACCTGATCTCTTTCTTTGTGTTTTTTCCCCAGAGGAGCTATCTGTGGAAGAGACGTTGTCCCAGCTTTGTATGGAGCTGCAGGTATTTTCTTCAGCAGAATCTGCCCATAGGTTTTTCAGGTCCATTTTTCAAGTGCACTGGGACAAGCCACTCACATATCAGAACCGGGAGAAAGGAAGTTTGGTGCCATTAGAAAGTTTGTTTCTCTTCCACCAATTGTTTCACATCATTTTGATTAGTCACGTACAAGGTGTTCCTGTCACTTTTAACAAGTCACCAGCTGGATTACTCTAACATCCTTCAGTGAGCCTAGTCCTGAGTATCAGTATGAAGAAAAAAATTATTTGGGGTAGGTTGCAATTACAGCTTTTCTGCTGACAGGAGAAAAGATGCCTTGGCAGGTTGTACAACCACATCTTTTCAAATAAAAATACCTAAAAGTGCAAGAAGGCTCATGGGAGGAAAAAAGTTATTTTGGCACAGAAGTGACTGAACTACTCTCTTGAGCTTGCTTTCTGCCAATTTTATTTCAAGTGAGACATAGACAAGTCATCAAGGGTGACAGGGAGGAAAGCAAGCACCAGCTGATCTCTGGAAAAAGTGTTTTAGAATAAGACATTTAATAGATTTTATTTATCATAGAACCATAGAATCATTAAGATTAGGAAAGACCTCCAAGATCATCAAGTTCAACCTCTGACCAAATATCACCATGCCCAGTAAACCATATCATCTACTAAGTTTTTTGAACAATTACAGTTTTGATAACTCCACCATTTTCCCAGGGAACTGAATTTGATAACGAAGGAGGAAGATGAGTCCAAACCTAACAGGAAGTCCATTTACACTCCTGTTACAAAATGTGGGGTAATGTTTGTCATCCGTGACTTAAAAACTGTTTGAAATTAAAAATTTATTAGTTTTAAGTCCTAACTTGGATACTTTTCAAGAAATCTCATTTCATATAAAATTGATTTAGAAAAACGTAAGTTATTGGGCTCAACTTTACTAGATTTAAAAGTTGTAAGAATATAGGACAGACAACACAATCTAGAGTCTCCTCTGGACTGATTTTCTATGAGTCTGTGAAAGTCCAATTTGGCTTGGCATACATCAGAAAATGGCATCATTAATTTCTCTGTATTTTCTACTTCCTGTGCAATTTTTCTTCCTGAGATCTTATTGACTTGTTTTACATGGCAATATTAATAAAACCAGTCTACTTTGACTGGTGCTTGAAATCTGATGAGGACAGTGTGGCAACAGATAGGGAAACAAAACAGCCAGAACAGCCGGTTCTGTAGATTTTCCTGTATGCTGGAAAATGTTTTGCCTTAGAATCATAGGATGACAGCTTTCTATGTATCTATTTGATTATAAAGACAGTGAGTATGCAGGGACTTGATACAGAAGTTGAGACCTTGCACAATATTGGTAGGACATAGGTGCAGCCCTGACCATCACTGCAGTGTCAGTGCATGTACCTCTGTGCTGTACAGATTAGTATTGCAAAGCTCTCCCAGTATTTTGCCTCTAGGGATATGTGAACTGAAACCATTTTTTTTTTCAGCAGAACATAAGAAAAACAGTCATTTATAAAGGAAGAAAAAGCTATTAGAACCCATACAGAGAGAGGCCTGTGGGGTTAGTCTCCCATTACCACTGTATTACCAGAGCCAGGTCCATTTTTAAAATTAAATTAAAAAAAAAAAAAGGAAGAAGAAAAAAAAGTGAGTTTAACCTGCCATGACTTTGTATTCAACTCAAGAGAACAACAGATACTCAATGCAGGAGAAAGTGGAAGGGAATTAGTTTTTCAATTGTGTGATTGATTTATAAACAAACAAGGAAAAATAACTCCTCAAAAAACCCTGTTAATTTGTTTTGTGTGACAGCGTTGTTAAAACAAGAGTGTCCACCAGTGTGGGTTTTGAAAGATGCAGCACAGGGCACAGACTGACAGCAGGTGTGTGGATGGAGTAAGTCACAGCTGGTGATCTTTTTAATTGCTGGATTTTAGTCTGAGAAACTGAGTCCCTGGGATTTGACCTGTGTGTAGCATTGCAGTAGAATGATGCCTTAAGCCCCTAATGGTTTTTTTATTTTTCTAATACTTGTAAGTTTTATAAGTAGTGGACGTAGACTCTAAAAGCAGCATCCCTCACTCCCTCCCTTGTCCCTTTCCCTTTCTCTCTAGCACCCTTAGTTTACACATTCCTTAACCCTCTTACCCCATTCTATGCTCCCTATATCACTCCTACCCCCGAATACAGCAGAAATGTTTAGTCTTTTGTCAAGGCAAGGCCTTGTATACAAGAACCATCAAACACAATACATTATGCTTCACACACTTATGGACTTGATAGCTCCTATTTTCCACTCCATGTCTTGTTTCTTGTTTGGAGAATGCTTGTATCTTGGCCTAAACCACAGAACACAGTCAAAAACTGGGTGACTATGTACCCTTTGTGCTCTGATGAAGATGGGATGAACAGAGGGTCCCGGAATGCACCCCAGACCCATTTTCAGGGGGTGGACCCGGGGTGGTCCAGAGTAAAGGCCACAGGGTGGACACATCTGGGATTGGATGGATGGTATTATAAAATGTAACATCTCAGGCACGGCCTGGGCGTGTCTTGCAACATCTTTACCTTGGCAAAATAAACCCTTTCTTATCTCACCCCTAATTAACTGCTCCGGAGATTTTTTCAGCACCTAACTCCCATGGGAACAGAAACAGGCATTGTCTTTTCCTTCCTTCCTTCCTTTCTTCCTTCCTTCCTTCCTTCCTTCCTTCCTTCCTTCCTCTCTGATACATTCAAAAGTTTAAGAACCAATAAACTTGAAAAATAACCATCACAAAACTATTCCTAAAATGACTTGCATTAATAATGTATCTTCCTTGAAGACTGAGATTTCAGTTTATGATGTAAGAAAGTGGCTTAAAAAATTAAAAATTAACACTGAATCACAGCATATAAAATTGGGTGCCATGAATAAAGTAGTTCCCTGACTCTGCAAATGGAAACATTTGGGCAGAATGTTTTGTTTCCCAGTATCTCCCTGATTTTTCTGGTACTGGAATGAACTTGTGCCATTTTGGACTAGTTTTTAAAATAGAATAGCATCCAGACAATATAAACATAGTGACAACATCTGTGTTATCAACACACGAATTTTCTCTGCTTTTCTCACACGCAGACAATTTGTTTTTTCGCGGCTTAGTTTTCAGTGTCATAAATCTGAAAACTATCTGTATAATAAAATGTGAAAAATAAGCAGGCTTTCAACTGGATTGCAGTTCTAACTGAAAGAAAGACCTGGTGAAGAGCTGATTGTGATATTTGGTATTATTTCTGGAGTATTTGTGGTGTCATTAATGGTTTCATGGAAACATGTAGAGACCCTGGGAATAGATGAAGGCTCAGATCTGTTCTCTCTGTGCCAAAGCATGGAGATAAAATGCAATTTCTGTCTCTCCTTACATTAACAATTATAAACACAAATTGAGAGAGTTGGGGTTTTTGGGCCTAGGGAAGAGAAAACTCCCGGGAGACCTTTTAGCACCTTCCCGTAACTAAAAGGGTTGCAAAAGAGCTGGAGAGGGACTTTTTACAGTGGTATGTAGTGATAGGACAAGGGGATATGGCATTAAACTGATAGAGGGCAGGTTTAGATTAGACATTAGGTAGAAATTCTTTACTGTGAGAGTGGTGAGACACTAGCACAAGTTGCCCAGAGAAGTTCTGGATGCCTCATCCCTGGAAGTGCTCAAGGCCAGGTTTGCTGAGGCTCTGAGCAACCTGGTCAGAGGAAGGTGTCCCTGCTCTCAGCAGGAGGGTTGGAAGGAGATGATCTTTAACCAAACCCATTCTATGACTCTGTGATTCTATAAAATTGTGAAACAGGAAGCCTGATGTGCAGAGACTTTGCTGCCAGCATAAGCTTTCTCACTGCAAAGCTTTAGCACAGAATTGCAGCCCAGAGCTGGAGGGCATTCAGGGTCCCAACATGTGTTAGTGTGAGAGAGAAGCAACAGCAGACTCTTGAGATGTCTGTTTTCATTATGTGTAGAGGACACAGTGGTTTGGGTTTGTTGTTCATTTCCTCCCCAGTTGCCCATCTGGTATCCTAATGTGACATGGCTGAAAGGGCTCCTTTTGCTAAGAGAACCGGGCCATGGTTTAGTATTTCAGAGCATCCAGCACCATCTGGTGGATAATTTGGAACCCACATTCTTTGATTTTTTTTTTTCCCCTGGTTACTACATCTGAGTAAAGTGTCTGCAAAGACTGAGTCTGTTCTTACTTCTTGCTCTCCAACTGGGTAACTAAGAACCTTTGCACTAAAATATATGGCTTTTAAAGAGTAAAAGAAAAAGTGTCACCAGATTTATTTGGAGTAAAATAACTCAAAATGGTAACTTTAATAATACTACTTCTAAATCAAGAGGAATTTTTGTTATTGCTGTTGTTCTTAAAAGGACTTAATCCGACATAGGAACTGATTCTGTCTTGATGTCAGAATTTCCTTTCTTTCCTCCAGCTGCTGAGCAATCCAGAAAAGATAGCAGAACAGATAAGCAAGGACCTTGCCTGGCTTTGTTCTCACCTCCTGGCCCTGTGGACCCAGTTCCTAGAGGTGGCAACACTCCATCCAGAAGTCACAGCTTATCTGACTCAGGAACATCACATGCTAAGGGTAATGTTAAGCAAGTTCAGTAATGGTCATCACCTAACAGGCATTAATGCTTTATCTAAATGTATATTTCCAATACAATTCTGCCTCTATGAGTATTTATGTGAAATGGGATAAGCAGGACAAGAGGTGAAGAGGTGAAGCCCAGGATTTGAAATTACAGATTTCAATTTCTGGAATGAATGCTGTTGCCTTTGTGTAACCTAGGATTCTATTTAAAATGAGTGCACTTCAAGCATCAGCATCAGACATAGAAAACGAGGTGGGTGGGAAGAGGTAGATATCACCGGTACTTGTCAGATATCCATAAATCATAAACATTTGTTTTAGAAACCACAAACATTAAAGTGACAAATAACCAAAAATATGATTTTATCTCAACTGCTTTCACAAAACTGCCGCGAGGAATATAAATTTGTTCTCTTCTCTTTGTCACATATATATTTTTATATATAGCTATTTGCCTTTCTTCCAGTGAGGTGCACACAACAAAATACTAATATTGCTGATGTTGAAATTTCTTCTTGTACTTGGTAATAAAGAAGGCACAAAAGCACTTGTGATTTGATTTAATATTGTCAGATCTGCTTGTCTGATTAGTTCAGCAAGTGCTTTGTCCTCCATTAGGACGTTCTTGGTTATTGACCAGACATCAGTTCAGCACATCCCCTGAGCTGAACTCAGTCTGATCTAATCATTAGAAAAAAGGGTGGGATTCACCTTGCTTAGCTTTAGGAGCATATAATGAAGTATTGACATCTCAGCTTACGTTTTTGCTCCTGTCAAAGTCACTGGAGGTCTGCTGACTCTCCAGAGTGATCAGAACAAACCTCCAGTTTCTCTCCCCAGGAGCATGGCTGAGCTTGCAAAAGTGTGGCATAAAATTCAGGAAGAGGTGAACGAGTGCCTTATGCTGAGACTGCCCTGGTTAGTCTGACTAGGTCTCCCTTGACTTTGAGAGGACCTGGGTGTCTTTCAGCCAAAGGACCCAACTCTGTATGCTCCCAGCTCCAGCAAGGTGAATCCCAGCCTGTGGTTTCTTCCAGCCTCGACTGATGCCTACTGCCTGCTTGGCCTTTGTCAAATTACATACCCTTGTATGCTCCACATAAATTGTTCCTTCCAGTATAAACTGTGTGTAATTATACTTTTCCACCTCTGGAAAACAGTTTGAGAGCCTTAAATGAAAATTCCTACTATTAAGATACAGGTTTTTTAAGGGATACTAGTCCTTTTTTTCAGAAAGGCCATTTGTTAAAGCACAGCTGGGGTTTAGGGAGATGCTGAGATGCTGTGACATATGTTTTTCTCTGCCATTTTCTGTCACTGTAACAGAGGTCACTTTTACAATTACTATTAAGAATGTATGGGCTGCAGTTTAATAGCTCAGTACATTTGATTGCGTATTATGCTTGATTCATTTAAACTCAAAGCTTATTCCAGGGCAGATGACAGCACTGAGTTTTTTATAGCTTATTTCACACTCTGTGCTCTGCCAACCACTTCAGATCCATGGCTCTTTCGTAATTGATTATCCAGCACTGAACAGATCTAATGCCCATGAAGGGGTTTGAAGAGCTCTCATTTTGTATCATGACATAGGCAGGTGTGCTTCTGCAATGATAGGGTTTATTCTCCTCTGGACTGATATGTATGACTTCTTTCACTGTCTTGGTGGTTTGAAAGTCACTGTGAGTCACTGCGGATATTTCCATAGAAGAGACAATCAATTGTTCTAATTTAGTTAGTTGCTCCACTAATGCTGTATAATTTGGAAAGGAAGAAATCTTCCCCACTTTAAGAATATGAGGGGAAATGGTAAATTTCACAACTTTTAGAAAAGTAGTAGAAGATGTAGATAACCAAATTTTGATTTATTGTCAAAGGACACTTCTTACCTCACAGCAAAATATGCAACAGCACCACTTGTTCTGTGCCAGATTGGGGAAGTGAAGTAGAATTGAACTCTTTGTTTTTTTCTGTCAACAGAATGATGCTACCACGCTGAGGAATCTGGTCCTGACAGTCACTGTTCTGTTATTAGACTTGTGGTACTTGGCATCTTTCAGCAAATCTTTTGTTTAACTTGTGTGTCTCTCCCTCTCAGGTGAGGAGATTCTCAGAAGCCTTCTTCTACACTGAGCACCAGAAACCTGCTGTGCTCACATTCCAGGAAGGCCTGTAAGTAACCCATTAACCCTCCCCTGTCACTGGAATGACTGAAAATTTACTTTAAAACATTTCACAGTCAAGACTGAGGTCTTTTTCTGCTGGACATGGAGGAGTTTGGTTTGAGAGAAGTCACTGGCTCTATTTTAGCTCCATACTGTAAAACCATTGAAATGAGTTTCAAAAGTAAGTGACTCTGATCAGGACCCAGAAAGAATTAACTTCAAGCTTCGCACACACACACACACATATATATATATTCCTTTCTTCAATTAAATTCCTGAACCAAATGCACCAAATCCAGCACAGGTAGTTTAATGGGAACTACTGGGAAGAAACAAATCTTAAAATTTACAAATTTTCTCTCTATGATCCCTAATATACATTTTTGGGGTAGACAGTCATGGATTTCTTTTAGTGTTTAGTCCAACCCTATTTCCTATAGCAGAAAGAATATTTAAATGTAGACAGGAGCATTAAACAACCAGTGCAAAGCTGTGGATGTTCAGTAGATGCAGCAGTGGAGGGCAGGAATGGGGAATACCACTATATTAACAGGAGAAAACATGGGTATAATATGAGTTCAGGGCTGTTAATGAATTGATCAAGAATCAACTATATAAAACAGACAAGAAAAACAAATGTTGAACTGGGCTGCATTCATAAAAATATGCCCTAAAACATTGGCAATGTAAGTATTTCCCTCTGCTGGACATTTCTTGCTTGTACCAAGTAGGGCAGCATGTAAAGCCAGTTTTAAACCTGCACCTGGGCAAATTTTGCCTTTAGTTTTAGCCAATGATCCCAAGTGGAGCACGTGGACAATACTCAGGACCTGACCCTTGAAGGCAGAGTTCAAAGATGTTCAGATTTGAATTTCTGAGTAATGAGGAATGTCCAGACTATTTGTCTGCTGAAACAGCCTGTCACCATGGGGGGACCATAGCACTACCAGTGTGCAAACCCATCTTTCAGAAGGGGTTTAAAGGCCATGACATCAGGTCCTGTCATGATTATGAGCCTTAAGTGAGCCATTTGCTTCTGACCCAGTGCAAAGAAGAAAATTGCTTTCTCACAGCTGTCACTGGGGACATTAAGGCTGATTCAGTGTCGATGGAAAGGGCCATGACTTCATTAGTGGGTGAGTGGTACCAGGCTACCTTGTTCTGCCAAGTTAGAGCAGCACCAGGGCTGCAGGTGCCCAGTTGCTTCACTTGGTTCTCCCACATCAGGATTTTAGTGAGCTGTGTACAAGGAAAATCCCCATGTCAAGATCCTGGGGTGAAGGTACAGACGCTCATGGCCCCATTCAAACAAACATAACCCTGCACAGGAGGAAGCCTAATTGCATGAAGTGCTTTTATTTCTCCAGGCAGCCACAGAACTAGCCTATTTCCTACATATAAACATAGTGTTTTTCTTAATGATTATCAAGGAGACTGAGTAAAAAAAAGTAAAATAGTTAAAAAATTAAAAATTGGTTTGTGTAGCAAATATAGTCTATATAGACCTCGTGGCAACCATGCTTTCTTTTTGAATTTGCTAGATGATAGAGCTGGAAAAACAGTCTTAACTGTCAGAGTATTATTAATGTTGTGGGTGGCAGTAGCAAGTATTAATTGGACTCACAGAGTCTCCAGCTGAGATTGGTGCTCAGTGTGCCAGGTCCTGTACAACCACCTCAAGCAGTAACAGTTTAGTCCCTCAGTTCTGTCTTCCTTCTTACTACACAAGAGCTGGTTTATGCCTCCTATACTGTTATGAGTTTGTGTGAGGCCGTGCACCTACGTGTCTGATAGCATTTGACTGGTTAGACTGAAGAGGACACACCATTTCCAGAATGCTGGGTATGGCCCAGTGTGGAGGCACCTGTCAGGTGGTATATCCTCCCTCGATTTACAGACAAAAATGCTTTTCTTCAGTCCTTTTAATAACAATTATTCATCTTTTTCACAAGGGCATGTAATAATGAGACGGGGTAATGGCTTTAAGATGAAGGACAGTTATTTCAAATTAGATATTAGGAAGAAATTCTTCCCTGTGAGAGTGTTTAGGCACTGGAACAGGTTACTAGAGAAGTCGTGGATGCCTCATCCCTGGAAGCGTTCAAGGCTGGATGGGGCTCTGAGCAACCTGGTCTTGGTGTCCTCCAACGCCGTAAGGGGTTGGAACTAGATGATCTTTAAGGTCCCTTCCAACCCAAACCTTTCTATGATTCTATTAATTAACGTGTCAGTGATAAAGTTATCATGGTGCTAAGAGTTAACTCCAAACACCCAGGTGTTACTGCCAGCAAGACTGATCAGTTGGCTGTTTGAGGCTCCTATCTGAGTCATGTTTTAGCAACCAATGACTTGTTTATCTCCAAGGAAAAAATTACCTGTCTAGAGGTAAGAAAAAATGATAGATAGCAATAATTATGATCTGAAGTTGGAGCTGATATGCTGCTCTGAATGAATTATTTGTGTATGGACATAGGAATCTTCCATTCTGGCATGAATTCCACACCTGCTGTTTCAGTTTTGGTTCATAATGTGTAAAGTGCATTTTTACAGTTAACTACCACATGATAACCTGCCTTTTGCCAATGCTAATCTGAAGGATTGCCACTGTGCTGTCCTATGGGATCTGTGCAGACTTACTTTCAGCTGACCATCTATGAAAAGCTTGTTGCCTTCTTCTTTGTATTTGATGCGTTCCCATTTTTTTTGGGACAGATATTTAAATAAGAAAGTTCATCAGGACTAAAAATTATTTTATTTACTATAGCTGAACACACATTCCTGTTCCAATTTTAACTGATGAGAGCCTGGTAGCATTTTGCGTGGCCCAAATGATAGAAACAGACAGGGACCTACAAGAAAGCTGAAGAGGGACTTTTTACAAGGGCATGTAGGAATAGGACAAGGGGAAGAGGCTTCCAACTGAAAGAGAGTAGGTTTAGATTAGATAGGAGGAGGAAATTCTTTAGTGTGAAGGTGATGAGGCCCTGAAATAAGTTGTTCAGAGAAGTTCAGGATGCCCTGTCTCTGGACTTGTTTAAGGCCAACCTGAGCAAACTGATCTAGTGGAAGGTGTCCATGTCCATGTCAAGGGGGTTGGAACTGGTTGATCTTTAAGGTCCCTTCCAACCCAAATATTCCATGATTCTATAACTCTAGCTCTGCCAACAGACAGTGGCATCTTAGCTCTTCCAGATACGTATGTGTGTGAGATACCACAGTGCTCTGAGGTCTGGTACAAGTGAGACAGAGGACCTGCCATGAATCTCCTTGACTTTGTTCCTCCCTGTACTGCTCAACCAAATTTTCGATTATTGCTTCCTGCATCTGGGTTTTGAAACCCTGACTTTAGCCAGAGTGACAGACCTTTTTTCCTGACCGGGAAACCAACTAAGTGATCCAGTCCCAACCAGCAACTGTGACCCCTGGGAGGACAGCAATGGTTTATGGCAGCTAACAGGAGCCTGTGGCAGTGGCAGCTGGAATAGTTTCAAAAATGCTGAGGTCTTCAATAAGGGATTGTGCAAGTTGCAGCTATTTCTTACAGAGAGATCGAATTGTCCGAGGAATGCTGGGTATCTCCCATCACGCATCTTCCTTCTCCCTTTAAGGACATTGACTCTGTCCTCTGCCTTCGTATTGGGGCTTGCAGGAGTGATGGAGAGACAGCACAGTAGCTACTCAAACCCTCAATTTGTTTTGTACTTTACTGCCAGGATCCAAAGCCACGCACAGATTTCTACAGAAATTCGTAACTCGGAGTATTTCACCAGCATGCCCCCGCTGCCGGCAGAATGCCTCGACATCGACGGGGACTGGAACACTCTCCCAGTTATCTTTGAAGACAGGTACATGGATATGCCTTGCAAAGGTGAGTGAAACACCACAAGGTGCAGCTTCCTGGGACAGCTTGAACTGAGGGAGTTTTGCTGTTCCAGCCCGAGATAAGTCATCTCACATCCCTTGTGCTGGTGATCTTGGAAGAGAGTGTGACTCCCTAAGTAATTCATCTGAATTCTTCTGTTTTCCATAATAGAAAACTAGAGTATTTCTTTCGTATTTTTCATCTTCAAAGTAAGCTGTTTTGTTAAAAGAGCTGGAGGCAAAATCTAGAAAGAAAACTACATTGTTTGGATTTTTGTTATAGTACAAATTTAAAGGAAAAACACTATGACTGTCATCCCCACTGTGACATCTAGTGGTAAGAAATCTCAGAACAAAAAAACCACAATTTCATTGTGAAGCTCAACACTTTCCTGAAAGGCAGTATTGCCTTCCAAAAATATTTTGCCCTTGATTATCCAAATCAAAATTTTTAATTAAGAAACTATTTAGCTATGTTAATTTTTTAGAAAAACCTCAGACTTTAGTAATTTTTTCTTTTAACTCGACCATTAAGATTAGCAAGAAAGCAATATGAATTAATATTATAGGTGACCATAGTCTAATGAACATAATCTGTGGCACAAAATTTCCACTCTTCCACAGTTATTCTACTGCCTAAATTTTGATAGTGCTCATTATAGATATTTAAACTGTTAAACTTAGTATTAAACTTCTTCAAAAGTAAGAGCTATACTGTGAACAATGTCAAATGACAACAGGAATACAAAGAATTATCAGCTTTATTTCACTAATCTGTGCTTTAAAAAGTTAGTTTATGTACAGTTGTACTGAAGACATTGATAATTTCTTTGGCCTAACAATAACTGTTCAGTGAGTACAATTCTAGTTAAATGCACTCTGATATGTGCATTATAATCTACTTGTAATGTATGTATAATTTACATAATATAAATATATATAGGATATTTTTTTAGGCCTTAAAATTGCTTTTAAAAGTCCCGTATGACTTTGGTGTAATTTATTGTGTTCTTACAGGTACTACTGCTATCTTTTTTTTTTTTCTTTTTTTCTTTCAGATCAGAATTTGGAAGTTTTCTCAGATTTTGAGGTTCCTGCAAATACTCAAATGGATGTAATAAATGAAAATGAAGACTGTGCATCAAATGATGCCACTGCAGTAATGAAAGGAGACTTTGGGAAAGGTATTCCACTAATACATGACAGGATAAACAGGAATCCCTCATGCTTATACAGCAGTACTGAAGGTGCTGCTGAGGGTTTAAACCAGCACTCCACGTCTCAGGTATATACAGCGAACAAAGAAGGCCAAAGGAAATCTGAAAATATTTTTGTTTCAAGAAGGGAAACTGTTTCTGACTCAGAGTCAGGCAATACAGAACACATATCAGGAGACTTTGAAACACCCAAGGAAGTTTTATTAAAAGATAATAGACTTGGGGCAGATGTTACTTGTGGAGACACAAAACCTAGCAATAAGGACTCTCACAAAAGTGAGCCTGTGTTAATTGTCAGTGGTCAGTATGAGTGTGGAGCATGTGGAACTGATGGCTCAGAAGACAGGACTGAAATACGTGAAATAGATGAATCTGGTCATCCTGAGAATAATTTCACTTCATCTGAGCTTGCACTGAATGATTTGACCAGTCTTGAAAAACCAGATGATCCTGACACCAAGGCTCATCTCCCTGTTTTGAAACCTTTGCCCTCACACTGCTTTGAAGCGAAATTGCTCACAAAGGAGCAACGAAGTGAGGAGAGTGAAGAGTTTACCCTCATGACAGGGGTCATTAAAAGATCTTCCTCTATAATATCTGATTCGGGCATTGAAAGTGAACCAAGCTCAGTGGCGTGGTCTGATGCTCGGAGTCGGGCGCTGGAGCTGCCCAGTGATCGAGAGATCCTGCACCCCTTGGTCCGGAGGCACGCCATCCACCGGAACTCCCTGGAGGGCGGACACACGGAAAGCAACACCAGCTTACCCAGTGGGATCCAAGCATCGCTCACATCCATCAGCTCTTTGCCTTTTGAGGAAGAGGAACGGGAAGTGGAGCTCACCAAACTGACAAAATCTGTCTCAGCTCCTCAGATCAGTAGCCCAGAAGAGCCCACGGAGGAGGTGGATATATCCAAACATGGTGAGGCGACCTCAGGAGACCAAAACCCAAAAAGCTGCATGGAAACAGAGGGTGAAGATGCGAAATTAATCATTGACTCTTCTGAGTGTCAAATCACCACTGAAAGTGGACAAATAGAGCCAAGACAACATCCCAAACTCCCCCTCAAACACAGTAGCAGTAACACTGAGTTACAAGGGGAGGAGGAGAAAGGTTTTCCAGAGACTTGCTGTAGTTTGGAAAATGCAAGACCACCCCTTTGTCCAAAGCAGCTCCAAGATAATGTCTCTGAGAGCCAGTCACTGGAGAGCAATGGTGAGTGCAGCTTAAAAACACCAAGGGCTTGTAATTACTTGGACCAAAATATAGATAAGTTCGATACATTCATTGAGGATCCAAAGGATAAACTTAAGCTGGACAAATTAAAAATACAACAGGGCTTCTGCAATAGCAGAATTTCAGGAGAGGAGAGTTTCTCTCAAAGTGTAAAGGTGGTACCAGATTTGTGCTATCCCATTACAGCTCCGTCAGAGACCTCCACTGAATTTGACTCACTGCAAGGAGAGTATGGCAGCTCTCTTGCTGATGAGAGCTCAGCAGTGTGTGCAGAAATGCAGGTGTTACAAGAAATAGAGCTCAATGACTCACCTGCCCCAGCAGACCCTGCAGCAGGGTCCTACCAGGCTGAACATCCTCAGGAACCCAACAGCCAAGAGCATAAACTTGTAGCGAACGGCACCGGGTTTCCTTTGGCAGTGACGGAGGGAGTAACCCTGGAAAGCAGGAAGGTTGCTGATGTGGTTAACCTGTCAGTCTCTTGCACAGCCACGTGTCTTCCCTTCTCTTCCGTGCTCAAAGAGACCCCCGCCATGGTCGGCTTCTCTGCAAAGCAGGCTGTGATCCCTATCACGCGCCAGCCCCTGGGCTCCTTCGGAGTTGTCTCTTCTAATTCTGATGAGGTGGATGAAGAGACGAACGAAAGAATGCTGAAGTAAGAATGTCTTATTACTTCACTAATGTAACTGTAATGCCAAGAGACCCCGGCAAAGTTCAGGACCTTAGTACACTAGGCACACAGCAATCTTGCACTTGAGACAGTTACCTGAGGAATTTCAGTATAAATAATCCAAATAGACAAATGGTTTGTATAGAATGAATTATCTAAATAGACAGGAAGGATGAAAACACAGAGAGACCAAGATTGTCAAAGACAACAGGTCCTTAATTCTCATGAAAAGGAGTGGGATTTAGGTGTCTAAATTATCTTTAAGATCTGACCCTCCTTCATGAAATCAAGGCTACCCATACTTGATATCAACCCCAGATAGTCAGTACACTATAGATCTGCTATAGATTATTTTTCTCTTCTGCTTCAGTAATTGCACTCATTAGCTTAACTCTGAAATGGGAGCACAGCTTGGTTGGTAGGTCTCAGTTTCAGCTTCTCAAACTGGAAAAAGGGGACAATGGGAACCATGGGTATCTGGAGAAGAGGAATTATTATTGGTTTTGGCTTCATTGCCCAATGTAGAAGTGCCACACCATGATGTCCTAGGGGCCCACTGAACAGATTGGTACACTACCACATGTACACTTCCATCATATTTTGCTGTCTCTGCTGTGTTGAGTGCCAACAGTAACATTGGAATTTGTCAACCCATTCAGTCCTCCAAAATGTTGGCTGTCTGCATGTGCATTCCTTTGAAAGGCAAGGGTTTTTTTTTTATTCTTTTGAAAGCATTTTGAGGTTTGTTTTATACACAATACTGTAAGTCCTGCTTAATTTAAGCACAAAATTTGTTTCTTATTTGTGAAACAGAACATTTAAGCATGTGTTCATGCACATGAATCCAAGGCCTCCACGTCCATCACCCAAAAGCTAGTTTTTTCATTCTCATGTCCCTTAAAGTTTAGTTGGCTTGATGTAAGTAAATGCTCACTATTGGACTCATTGATCTTAGAGGTCTTTTCTAACCTTAATGATTCTATAATTATATCAAGTGACCTTAAGCTGTCCCCAAGCTTTGAAGTTTTATGTCTCCTGATTTGATTCATCCCAGTTGTCTCCCTAATTCTACACTTACATTGTGTCTATTAATTCCTAAAATCTCTGGATAAGTTTTGCTAAGTCAAAAGCCCACCCGAAGAGTTTGTCGTCTTCAGCCAGCGGAATGCTTCAGGATGAATTCAGGTGTCACATTTTAGACCTTTATTAGGAAAGAGATTAGTTTAATTCTTTGAGCACTGAGTTACTCTTCGTCTAAATGCTACTAAATGTTTTTAAAAGAACCCAAAACCAAACCAAACCAAACCAACAATATCTACCATATGAGTTGCATCTTTTAACTCTAGTCTGAGGAAGGAGAACACCTTCTACCTGACTATAAAGGCATCTGATGGTAGCAAAATGACACATTTTGTATTCCATTACCTATAAGGCCAGTGATATTGTTAAGATGCAAAATTGCTAATTCTGTATCTTAGTCTCATTGTTACAAGCTACCAGACAATTATTTTTACCCTACTCTTTCATTCCTCTGGCATGTGTGAGGTGCTAATGCACTTTAGCTATTCCCTGTATTTAACCAAGTTACTCAGAAACAGACTTTCTTCCCTGCATCCTGATCTCTCTCAGTCCTAACAGATAAAGAAGAGTATCCAGGTCTCTACTTGAAAACTGCAAACATAACTTCTTGCAAATACAAGCCTTCTCATTTCTAGTTTGAAGGTTTGTTGTTGAACACCCAGTTCTATTGTGATTAATAATGTATTCTCCAGTTTTTATCAGGCCAAAGAAAAATTTAAAAAAGAAATGAAGATTGAAGGATTTCTGTACAGTGACTTATCTGTACTAGCTTCTGATATCCCGTATTTTCCACCAGAGGAAGAGGAAGAAAATTTAGAAGATGGAATTCACCTGGTTGTGTGTGTCCATGGGTTGGATGGTAAGGCCAGGAGGAGTTACACTTTGTAAGTCATTTTGGCGTAAATTAAAAAAAAAAGAACAGATGTTCAGCAAGTATGAAAGAACAGAGAGTCTAAGTATTTCTCTTAGCTAAGTATTTATTCCTTATCATGCTATTTGGTCCATTGTAATAAAGGACCCAGGAGAATATGAAATATTTGGGCTAAGAAATGAGGTGCTGCAACCTTTGTTTGCTTATGTTTAAACAGAATTTTACACCAAAGCATATCAGTCCTCCTGTGTACAGTAAAAGTTCATTACAGTAACTTCTTTTGTCTTTCCACAGATACTTTGTTGTTTTGCAGTATGTCAGCAGGAGAAAAAAATATTTAACTCCCCAAAACACTGTTATAGGGAAGTGAGTGGCTGGCATTAGAAAGTGGGAGAATAAAAATCATTATTCACTGCAGAGGAAGCAGATCTTGGAATTTTTTTACATGTGTGCTTTCTGAGCAGAAAACAGTTATGTTAAATGTGAACTTTCTCTTGTCAGATTCTTGGTATTAATGGGAAAAGCGTAGATTTTAACCTTGAAGCTACAGAGAAAGAGGGGTAGAGACTGAAATCTCAAAAAAATGGAAAACAAACACTTACTGGCTGTTTGCCATTGAATATCTCAATGGCAGGAATGTCCTCCTCGTGAGGTGGCCATACCTACTTTTCTAACAAAATATTTTTGAAGACTTTCTAATTTCCTAGTATGGAATGAGGCATCTGTCCAAATATTAGGAGCCTAACAATATTTCAGCACCATCTCTAATAGTGAATACACAGAGGTGGGCTACTCTTCATCTGAAGGTACAACCCTATAACCTAGCACATGAGCCGAGGTGTCCCTGGGGTCCTCCCCATCTGTGAAGATGGAAGGACAGACCTCAGCTTGTTGTCTTTGTGTCCTACCTCTGTTGTTCAGCAAATAGAGGGCAGAGTTATTCTGTGCCTGATCTTTACCCCTTTTTCCCCACAGCAGCAAGTGAGGTCCAGCCCACCTGGGGCAGGATGTGGGTGTTCTTGCTCTCCCACTGTTTCAATGCATGGTGTGGTAACCTTCTTGTCAGCACTTAGCAAGAGCTCCCTGGTGTCAAGGTTGTTGTGTTAAATTGACTCTATACTCATTAGTTTTCTGCTGAATTGCATCTTATAAAGTACCTTTTATTCCCAGGTAATAGTGCAGATCTGCGCCTGGTAAAGACTTTTATAGAACTGGGACTTCCTGGTGGAAAACTGGACTTCCTAATGTCTGAAAGAAATCAGGTAGTACAGAACAAATTTCTGGCTTCCTTTAGATTACTGACACAGAGCCTTAAACAAAAGCCTTTTCAGCAGCTGAATGAAGCAAAAGCACTTGTGAATTCAGGGAATTTTATGTAGTATTTAGTGCAAAGGCCTGGTCCTCTTACTCTCTAATTTGGTAGGGTGTTCAAACCTATTGGAAAATATTTCTGGCATTAAAGTCAAATGCAATGACATTATCAGTAATAGAGCTAGACCTTAGAGGAAGAAAATGGATTTATCCTGTCAGTTTGCAAACTTGGCAGCCTGGTGCCTCTGCAACACCGCACAGATGAAAAGCAGCAAGTTTAGTTATGGTAAATTCTCTGGAGGATATGGAATATCTAGCAGGTGTTGTCAGCTCCCTGTGCTACATCAGCCATTGTTTCTCCTGTTGCAATGTTTGTGAGATTTATTTCCTTGAATGATAAAGAAATGTCTTCCAGAAAAATTGATTGTTGGTCTAGGCAGAGAAACAGAAATGAATCCTGTGCTTTGCTCTGCAACAAACACATATTTATGGCACAAGGGCCTAACTTTATGCACAAGATAAGTATTTCCAGTGCCCAGTCAAAAACATTATTCTGATTTATAAGCCGCTGGGAAACGTGAGTCAAAACTTTCCAACCTTCTTTGTTCAACAGCTTTTATTTTTTGAAGTGGTTGGTTGGTGTCAATCCGTGAACTTACCACCTTCCAGCTCACATCCCTGTCAGCTGCAGACCTGTACAGTGAATGTAAGCAAGGTGAAATGAGACCACTTCATACTTCCATCAAAGCCTTTCCTCAGAGAAGAGAATGTTTTCAAAGAATGAAAAATCATACAGCATCTATATTTAACATTATCCAGAGCCCATAATGGGAACTATTTTAAAGGTCTCATAGTCTGCGAAGGTGGGGAAATTCTCATGGCACTGGAAATAGAACATGAATGGTTTGATGACTATTTTGATGCTTCAAAGCATTCCATCACTGTTTTTTTCCTTTCTTTGAGAACCACACTGAAAATGACCCAAGAAATCAGTCATTTAGCTGTTTTACCTTACAGAGGAAAATACAAATCACTTCTTTTAGGCATTCATTTGTGATGCATTTGAAAAGCTCAGTCAGGCTGAAATGATAGTAAAGGATGGAGGTATGACCAGTTGAAATATGAAGCTTGATGCGCTTTGTTTATGATTAATGTTCAGGCTGATATTCTTCCAGTTTTAAACAACCTGAACGGTTTGGGATAATGAGCCGAGAAGGAAATCATTAATTATCAATGCAAACAAAACAAACAGGCAGAAGGTTAGTGGACTGTTTGTAGTTTATGAGAACATTTATTTTAAGTCTCTTGCAAAATGAATATGCTCATGTTTTCCTTTGCAAGGGTTGCAATTAGCAAGATGAGTTGTGTCACAAAAGCATTAATTAATGATATGTTTCAAAAGCATTAATTACTGATATGTTTTACTGAATAGCTGTTCCAACACTTGATGATTGTTTTTGTGGCATCTCATTAGTTATGAATTTGATTCAGAGCTCTGTTGAATTGCCAAATGACACAGTTCTGAGTAAGATCTGCCTGTAATTGTATAGACTGGACAATATATTATTTGTTTTATTGTCTCACAACTGGTAGTACTGTTGCAAGCAACAAATTGTTCGCTTCTCTAAACTCATTCTCTTTCTGATGGCTGTTGAATAACAAACACACAGCATTTGATTAAGATGGCCAAATAATTTCGTGATGACATCCTGATCATCAGCATAACTCTCATGTCAGCGTATAATGCTGTAAACAGTTTTATCGCTGTAATCTATTGATTCCCAAATGGCAAAAGCTGTTCTTCCATGTGCAGACTCTGATATCTAGAACAGCTGAGCATTAGCAGTCATCACTGATGTCAAGTCAGGCTGCTTTAGCATAATACTTAGGATTGTGGAGTCACTCAAAAATCTCTTTGAAAAGAGAACTTCAATTTTTAGAGGACCTGGAGACTGAGAAAAATCGCCCTTTTTCCTCCTTGAGCATGTATAAAGAAAATTTACACAGGTTATTACATTTCTATTTGCATTTTACTTTGAAAAACAACATCTGCCTGCAATTAGTGCATATATTTTAATTCACTGACTCATTTCATTTCTCATCAGACTGATACTTTTGCTGATTTTGATACAATGACTGACCGATTATTGGATGAAATTATTCAGCATATCCAGTTGTACAACCTCTCCATATCCCGAATAAGGTAAGCCCTATGGTAGTTAATAGTCTGTAACTTTTTGAATTACATGAGCAACACCCAGTGAAATTAGCTTTTCCAAAAGTGCTCTGTACTACAAGCCATTGAATCAGTGAGACTAATTTTTACATTGTTATAGATGAAAGAGTATCTTGTAGACTGAAAAAAACATGAAACGACAGCTAAAGGACTAACTGATAACTAAGTAAAAGAGTCGCCCACAAGAGTAATTTGTCCTATCTGTGTGTTTAATTTAAAGAAAATACAGATGGGTTTTGTGTTAGTGTAATTCTTTTTTTCCCTACAGTTTTATTGGACATTCCCTTGGTAACGTCATCATTCGATCTGTACTAACTCGACCCAGGTTTCGCTATTACCTCAACAAGTTACACACTTTCCTGTCCCTCTCTGGCCCTCACCTGGGAACCCTTTACAACAACAGCACTTTGGTTAGTACAGGTAAGAGCTGGTGGGATAGCTGTGACTGCCTGTGGTCCATGGCAGAATGCATGAGAAGGCAACGCAGGGAGTCAGCAATAAATCGTAGCATGACTTGTGCATTGCAGTTGTGGAAAATATTTTCTGAAGACTTCAAACCCACAAAGAAAAAATTGCAATGAGAGTGGCTTTCAATATCTACTGCAAGGTCCATCACAGTGCTCCCTGGAAAACCCAAGGGTGCGTAGCAGTGAGAGATGACCCTGCTTCCACTTAGTTTTCCACTTCTCTGGATGCTGACAATAGAGACATCCCCAGGGCTGAAAAAGACACTTTTTCATCAGAATCTAATGTCTGTGATGGAGAGTTCAGTCTCCCTGAATGTTTCTGCTAGCATGACATGGATAATCATAGAATCATAGAATAATTTGGGTTGGAAGGGACCTTAAAGATAATCTAATTCCAACTCTGTAACAGTGAGCAGTGACATCTTCAACAAGATCAGTTTCCTTAGAGCCCCATCCAACCTGACCTGAATTGTTTCCAGGGAGGACATCTCCCACCTCTCTGGACAACCTACTCCAGTGTCTACACCCCTCATGGTAAAGAATTTGTTCCTTATATCTAATCTAAATCTATCCTCTTTTAGTTTAAGACTGTTATGTCTATCTTGTGAGACCCTTAGACTTTTTTTCCCTGTTGATTAGGAATGCAAGAGTAAAAAAGACTTCTGAATTACAGTGTTATCCTTACTGTAGGCACATATCTTTGATTGCCTTGCTTGATAAGTAACAAACAGGAGAAAAATATACACCAATTTTCTTTCCAGGTCTGTGGCTCATGCAGAAGTTGAAAAAGTCAGGGTCTCTTTTGCAACTGACCTTCAGGGACAATGCGGATCTGCGCAAGTGTTTCCTCTATCAGCTCAGCCAAAAAACGGGTGAGTAGGGCTTGATGTGCCTCTGGAAATACCAAGGGCTATTCCAATGGGTTGTGCTAGATTGCCATTTTCTCTAGGGAGTAAAGGAAATCTCCATTTTGTTAGTGATCTTTCTTTAAACACTCTTGTTTTCAGGAAGGGTGGCTCTTTCTAAAATCTAATATCTATTTTATTTGTGCATTTTTTCTGTACTGGTTATCAGAGAATGTATTTTCCAAACAGTAAACATCAAACAAGATCTTTGTGCTGCAGTAAACATGCACCTAAGTTTATATTCTGCAAGCAAGAAACATCATTCTTGACAGGCCACCACTGCTTAATTTATGTTACTAGATGAAAACCATTTTTCCTTTCTTATTATTTTTTGTAAGTTTAACATCTCCTGTCTCTGGGAAATATGACTCTGTGAGATGAAGAGCAAATTTTAGTCATGTCTATTTTGACACTTCTGTACTAAAGAAAGATGTATGGCCTCACACTGGAAAAATGGTGTCTGAATAAAGAATCTTTTTACCCCTTCTTCGGTCTGTCATGAATAAATAAAATAAATCAGGCTTTTCTTAAGAAAAGAAAGCAAGCATGATCCTTCTACTCAAGCAAATGTTTTCTTTTAAGAGTTATTTTTCATATTGTGTTTGAGCAAACTGGTGCCAAGCATGTAGTCACAAGGTCTCTACTTGGTGTTTAATTTGTTTCTCTTACTTTGTTGCACTGCTAATAGGAAACAAAGACTATGCTAATATGAGTATAACATCTTAATTCTTAGTATGACCAACATAGACTTGTTTCTTAATTTTATGAACACACTACATAGCATAATCAGTGACAGGAAGATGGTGTATACTGGTGTTATTTGAATTTTCTGTTTGATTCCCTGTCTCTCATTTCCATGGAGTACAGTTGATGTCTGCTCCACTACCGTTGAGTTAAAATAAATTGGGTCTACACAGGAAGCTTATATTGTAAACTCCCAAGAAAAAGAATTTCTAATCATGTGTTGCGAGTCAAAGTGATTTGGTTTTTGTTAGTTTGGTAGACTGGAGGTGTAACACACTATAAATTAAGGCGTTGTACCTGAAAATGCAGAAAGCAGAAATTTAAATGTGGACAGAGTTGCCTGTAAAGTCAGAATCATCCAGGTACAAGCTTATGCAAAATGTCTGAAGAAGCAGATGGGTCCATATATGAATATATGAGCTGGCATACTGAGTCAATATAGAGATGCCTCTGCCTGAGCACCCTGCTCCAAGAAGTGGTTGGGATAACCTACAGAGGAAGAAATGCCAGAAGCAGTGTTGTACCTGCATTCCCAGATGACACTTTAAACCTCCAGCGATTTCTGACCTTCTTGTTAAAGTTGAAGTCCCTGCTACTTTTCAACCTCTTTAAAAAATACTCCTCATGCTTGTCTAAAAAAAAAAAAATCAAACAAAAACCAACAAAATATTCTTCTGTATTCAACCTCTTCACATAGATTTTTAGATATGGTAACACGTACTGTTGCTTCTCCTACTTTTTACTTTAGAATTAAGTTGTAAACTCTGTTTAATTACACAAGAAGAAAAACAGCTTCAGCCAGGTTTTGGAAGGGCAGGCAGCAGGTCTTTTCTTTGTGGTGGTGATAGTTAGCTTTTCTGTGAAAATCTAGAAATCACAGTCACAGAATCATAGAAACATAGGATGGTTTGGGTTGGAATGCACCTTAAAGGTCATCTCATTCCAACCCCCCGGCCATAAGCAGGGACACCTTCCTCTAGATCAGCCCCAGCCAGCCAGGCCTTGGTTCTGGATGCTGCCAATAAAGAGAGGTATCTCCAGGGCTGAAAAGGACACTTCGTTATTGGAATTGAATGTCCACGATGGAAAGTTCAGTCTTCCTTACCTCTTTCACACAAGATGGGAGGGAAGGATGAATGACAAATCCATAGTTTTTCTGTGTTCAGGGTACTCTCTGGACTAATAACCCAGATCATTGGTATCTGTTTTCTTACTTTTCTGCTAAATGTGGGCGTGGAGGGCTCAAGACACCACAGACAGGGCAAACAGCAGGAGCCTGTTTCCACAACTCATCAATGGCCCTATTACCTCTAGGGAAGAGGGAGGATTCCAGTTTCCAGTCGATGTACCAGCAGTGTACATTTATCAAGGGACTGCTGAATGCAGGGATTGGATGGATCCCAAGGCTCTGTCAACAGTGGTGTAACAGTATGACATCATAGCAGTGAAGCTGGCTCCTTTTTTCCTCCCTCTCTCTATTATGTTTGAGAATTGTGCTAATTCATTGTGTTATTTTTAAATTTATTTCTGATTAGAGGTATAAATATTTGCAAAATTAAGGTTTTAATCAGGTTTTTTTTTCACAGTTCTTTTTTTGTTAGCATACAGTTAACCTTTTTGGTTGTTGATAAGTAATGAATACGTCTCAGAAGCAGCAGAAATGTGTTTAAGCTGTTAGGAATCTTTCTAAGCTCGTGTTGTGTGTTTTAATAATTATCATGTATTTTGCACTGTAGGTTTTCAAAAGCCTTTGAACATGAAGTAGTCATGCTGACACTGTGTGTATTTTTCATCTCTGCACTTCACTGTGATTAATGTATTTAATATGTTTGCCACAGGTCTTCAGTACTTTAAAAATGTTGTGTTAGTGGCCTCACCCCAAGACAGATATGTACCCTTCCATTCAGCAAGAATAGAAATGTGCAAAAATGCACTTAAGGACAGACACACAGGTATGTTTAAGATCTTTTCTATATTCACAAAGCTATTGAGGAATTGTGGTTTTGTGCAGCTGAGGTCATTGCATTAGAAGGGTTTTTCATCAGCATGATGAAAACTCAAATGTTTATTTGATAAGGAAGAAAGTGTTCTCTTCCCACAGGAAATTACTGAAATCAATAAAATAAGCTTTTCAAGAAGCTCTTTGCCTGATGAAAAAAAACATTCAATCAGGTCATAATCAAAGGTTTCTTACTGCTTCTTCCTCTTCCCTCTAAATTTTTTTCTTTAAAGTGATGATAATAGAACTAGCTCTTGATAATATTTTTCTGTAGTCTACTGATTTACTTATATTATCTCATCTTTGTTACACATAATGAAATCTCTCTCAGCATAACCAGAGCCAAGGGATTTTCTCTTTCTTTCCAAGAGTGTTTGAGTGATTGCCAGATAATTTAAGGGACAGATCTAAAATTGTGTTGGTTTGTAATAAAAACTGTAAAGCATATCAGGACTCAACGCCACTCAGAGGCTCTCCTGTGAGCTCAGGCCATGTGTTGTCCCAGGCATTGCCTTTGTTATTAAGTCTGCCTCATTTATAAAATGTTTCGTGGCTTCAGTTTGATACCACTTCCAGCAATAATGCTCAGTGCAATTTCATCCCTGTTTCATATATGTGATTACCTAGAAATTAAGGTACCCTTTAGAAACAGGAGACACCTAGGCCCAGTAATCAGCATGGTTGCCTTCACACCTCTTGCCTAAATGCCAGCTCTTTCTATCCTACCTCTGATATGAACTAAAAGGTCATTCTTTAACTCTCATACAGTTCTTGTTTCTCAGGGAGGTACTTGACCTAGTAGGAGCCAGATCTGCATTCGGTGTAGATCATTTATCAGTACGTGTTTCTTGAGTCATAGTTTTTGCCCCATAAACTCCCCAAATATCTACATGACATTCTTCCTGCATCAGATTCTGCAGAGAAACTCAATGGACCACTGTGTCCTGCAGACCCTTTCACATTTGAATCCACAGGCACTCTGAGTCCAACCGCACTCCCCTGAAAGGAACAAGAGCATTTTCTTCAATGACAGAGGAAATGTGACTGATTGCCCAGGATTTTCCCACTCCTCCTACTCGCAGCTTCAGCAGATCACTCCACATGGCCAGTGCCTCCACTAGATTAACAACACCCTGGCACCTGGCAAATCTTTGAACTGGCCTCCTATCTCCTGCATTTTGGCCTTGCTTCTATTTTCCTTCTCACTGGGACTGTAATTAAATGATACTGGAAGGAAAGAGAGGATCTGGGGTCTGTGGCATGTAGGTGTGACATCTAACCTCTTTTTTCAGGTCCTGTTTACGCAGAGATGATTAACAACCTGCTCCAGCCTTTGATTGGGGCAAAGGACTGCACTTTGATCCGACACAACGTGTTCCATGCCCTGCCGAACACGGCCAACACGTTGATAGGCCGGGCTGCCCACATTGCCGTGCTGGACTCTGAACTTTTCCTGGAGAAGTTTTTCCTTGTGGCAGGACTCAACTACTTCAAATAGTGCCTGAAGTACCGGGTAGCAGAGGCCAACCTTTTCACAGAACAGAGGAGAATCCCTTAGCCAAAGGAATGCAGTGTTAGAAATGAGATCAGGTGGGACTTTCAAACTTTCCATTTCCATTTCTCTTTCAGAGAATAAAGTGCTATGGCTTTAAGGCATTCAAGCTTCCAAGTATTGGTGCTTTTGGAAGAAATAAATATTCCTCTTCGGTTTCTATGTTCTTTGTCCACATAAAGACATGAGCCACTTCTGGACTACAGAATCAGAATAAGCAGGCTAATTCTCCAAATGTGTTTGGACCAATATAATTCCTGTTTCTCCTGAATATTAAACCAGGAATTTGTCTGTCCTTGATTTAATGCTTATTTATGTATTAACAAAGCTATACATTTGTAGCACTTTTGGGGTAGTTAACACAAGAGGAAACAAGTGTATGTGAACTCAGGTTAAAACCTCCTTTGTGATGAGCTGAGAAGTCTGAAAACCATTTATGAAAGTTTCAGTATTTCTGTTTGTTGCAAGAAAATATTTGGATGATTCCATTACTGGTTATAATTACTGGTTATAATTTGTAACATACATAAATTGTAATATACACAAATTCGACATTCAAATAAGGGAAAGGAGTGAAATATTTTACATAAAATGAAGAAATATTGGTATTTGTCTTTAAAAAGAAACCTCAACTTTAAGTTGGTAAGAATTTTATTCAAATAAGAAGCTACCAAACCAAGAGGAATCTACTGTATTACTTGTAAAATATCAGTGGCATCTGTTCACATTTCTTCTGTTTACATTTATTGTGGTTGTTATAACCTTAGAGGTACAATTTTTACTTTAACCTTTGTATGCAAGTACATTTACCCTGACAATTTTATTTATTTATTTTTTAATTAATTACTCTGATTTGAAATTCAAAATACCCTTAAAAAACCCCAAACACTTAAAAAAAAAAAAAAGGCTGGAGATGTAGAATAGTAAGGATTGTGGAAAAAGAATGTCTTATTAAGATCCTCTGCAATATCCTATGAATGTTTTGTTAATGCCCCTTTGCAGTGCTGTATAGTCCTAATTATTATATGGTTTCAGGTGGTTTGAACATTCAAAAATTTATTCATGCAAAGATATCCAAGTTGTTTTTAAGAGTTTGGAAAAGAACATTTTTCTCACTTTTTATTTTTTTCATCAAATTTTCATTAAAATATTTATCAAAAAATTATCAGATTTACAGTGGCAAATTTCAATAACACTGTACATTTTCATAACATTTTGATAAATTTTCAATGTCACAGCAGTTTTTTCAAAAAAAGAGAAAATGAATAATCCTTCACAATTATTTTTGTTTGAAAGGTAGGCTATTTTTTAATGCAGATATAGTTTGTTTAAAAACATAAATAAACAGGTCTCTATATCTTGTAACAAAGACTGTAAAAAAAAAATTAAAAAGATGGTTTTAGGTGTCAAGGCTCTCATCAGTAAATTAAGATCAAGATAGTGGAGATTTCTGAAATAAGAGAATAAAAAATGTAAACAAAAAACCTCACAACCACAGGGAAACATTTGTACATGCAAAAAGTAAAACTATTTTTTCTCAAAAGAAAAAATGTGAAAAACTTACACAAAATCAGTTCAAGAAAAGAGTTGTTAGCAGGCTGGCAAACACCGATAAAGAACAAGTCTGGTTTGATAAGGTAGGCATTCTTCTCCTTAATAAGGAAGGAGAAAGAAGGAATATACCAAAGAGTGAGATTAAGATCAACTGAAAATAAGAAGGTATATTACATATAAAAATCTCGTGTCCTCAAAGGGGTAGAAATTATATAGAAAGAGTTCCATGGTGTAATTCACTCTCAACAAGTTTTTTAAACATTAAATATTACCTCAGTATTATAATCAAATAGATAAATACTATTTTCTCTTTTTTTATTTCTTTTCCTTTTTATAAATTGACAATTAAAAGTTAAAAGTCGATTTTAGCCCATTAACAAATAAATTATGTCAGGAATTAAAACTTCTCGGTTTCACTTCTTGCTTGGAAATTCCTTCTCACTTTTCAGCCTCAGCTGTCTAATGCCACCTACACTGACATATCACAGCTTACTTCTTCCTCGGTAAATTGTCTAGAGAATTTTAATATTATGGGATGTGGAGATTGAGCTGTTATACAGTGCAGTATTTTTGAGCCAGGACATGGATTTTATGTGAAAAAACAAGAAAGAAAAGCAATCTCGAACCATCAGCAAGCTTCAGTGTGCTGTATGAGGGTCTTGTCTACTTGTAGAAAATGTTCAGGAGTCTGCCACCAGAAAATTCGGAAAAAATATTTAGAAGAAAGTTAGTTTACACCTACATACATGTCTGATGTGTGTGTGTGTATGTATACAGTCTGTATGAGGAAATATGCTTATGTCAAAGTCTCACACCAACTTTTGCAATCCTGGGTGTCCTGAGCCTGACAACGTACCAGTGTAACTGTTCTTCCACTCAGATTGGTGGTTCTTGCCTTGCCTTGTACACTGGACAGCATTCCCAGCCTTCTACTTGCATGACTGTGAGACAAGGGACATGTGAAAAGATCTCTGTTTTGCTGCAGAAATTGGTGGGCCTTTCCATGTGTTCACTTTGACATCCTACACTCCTACCAGTGCTCTGGCTGATGGAGAAATACACCTAAAGGTTTCGGTGCTCCTATTCATATGGAATTCTTTGATGACTCAGTCTGATTTCAGAATTGGAATGCATATGGAGTTGGATTAGGTCCATAAAACTTACACCTTGTGGGTTATGGCGAGAGCTTCTATCAAGCCTCAGAAAAATCTGGGAGATGTCATTCCTATCAAAAGATAAGATACAGATTTTATCTTCCTTCTGCTGGCAGAACATTGTGGGGTATATTGGCAGTAACAGACTAATTGAGTTTTCATTTTAGCATTGTCAGAACAACCTCCCTCTCTTTTTCTTCTTTAACAGTATGTTGCCTTGATAATGACTCTCAATATTGTAAACCCACTTAACTGTATAGACTATACTGCAAAGAAATCTACATTTTCATTACAATACAAATAGTATCTAAGTTGCTGGATTTCATCAGCTATAGCAATCAGCATGGACTTATTTTCAGATTTTTTGTTTGCACAGAAAGAACTATACATTAAAAATTATCTTCATAAAAATAGCAAACTAAATGCATAGTTAGCATCTTTGTTTCTGTCTTAACCATTGGAATTTTAATATATTGTTCTTTCACATAAAGCCTTTTAAAATAAATTTAGCTGCATTTGCAAATGGAAACTGCACAAACTCCCCTTGGCTTCGTGCGTCTATGGGGGTAGGGTTAAACTTTTAAACTCAGCTCTCACATTTATAGAGGATAAGATAGTTTTTCAAAACCTTGGACAGAGGAGGGACAAACAGGAGTTTTTTGTAGCTTGTCAGTGTCAGTGTTTGCTGTATGTGAAGTGAAATCCCCTTCAATTCCGTGAGATTCTTCAGTTAAGAAAAAACAAAGCCAGCATTCCAGGGTTGTTTCTTTGGCATGTAGGAAGATTATAACCAGCATGGAGGATCTCCTGGCTCCACCAGGAGAACTGCATTTGGCTGTTAAAGTTTCCAGTGTTAGAGATGAGCGATGGGGTATAGCCCAGATGAGTAAGTTCTCTGGAAGGAAAGGTGATAGCCCACATATAGAAAAAGAGGAGCAGAGACGAAGAGAGGAACAGATCTCAGAGCTTTGAAAGACAGAGGAAATGATGGAGGGAAGGAAAAGACAAGAAGTTTCTGAAGCAGTTTGTAGCATTTAAAAGGACTGACATTAACTGTTTTAAAAAATTTGAAGCACTTGAAAACAGTGCAATTATAACAATTCAATGAATATCTATGATTATGCTTTTATTAATAACTGGATTAATATTTTCCAATATTTTAGGGCTTCTAGATCCCATTGAGCTCAACTTTTGAAAGAATTTAGTATCTTCTGGAATTGAATATTTTTTTCTTAAATCTGACTGAAAAGAAATTGCAGTATTGACTAAGTTTGAGTAGATGAGGGACAGAAGAGCGAGTTCTTTCTTTCTGCAGGTGGGCTGAGGATTTTCAAGGAGTTGGTTTTGAATCTCCTAGAAATTGAAGAGCCCATCTCCTGTATCCTCTGGAGATGTTTCTACTTGGAGAATCATAGACTTTGACTGGTCTAATTTCATTACTTAATTTGTGCTTAAAAAGTAGTTGCAAAATGAATTTATTCTATGAAAATAAAAGTCTTCATTTCTCTATGTAGTCAGTGACATTCAGGATTACTTACCTCTATTCTCTGACCAGGGGACTTATTATAAGACTCACTTTTTAGATATCTAAGACATAGACCAAAATTGGAGGCCCAGCATTTGAGGACTGGATGATATTCTTATTAGCTCTTCAGTTTTTCATACTTGGGCACAGTTTTTGACTGTATACCTTGAACAAAAGCAAACACTGAATATATAAATCAGACTCCTTTAAAATTTGCAGGAAATGTGTCTTTTCCCAGCCTCCAATGGATGCTCATTTTCTTTTTAATGAAATTTATAATTTGTTTTCAAAATCAAGTCTGTCCACTGACAATAGGGGAAGTTGAAATTTCTTAGCTTTAAAGGATTATTTTTTAAAGACTTGAAACCTTAGTACAGAGCTTTGGAATTACTTACAGGAACACTGAGAACTATTTCACTTCAAAGCACTTCATAAATATCCACTGACCAATCCTCTTCACTCCCTCGCCAGAGAATAACCACATTTGAGAGATAAAGCTGTTACAAGACAGTGTGAAAACTGGGAATTCAAGCCAAAGTTTTCGTTATTTGTAGGTTTCTATGGTGCTTTTGGTATGCTTAAAAAAAGAAGTTATCTTCCTTTATACCTCTGCACTTGAAATAGCTAAGTGGTGATGAAGGAGAAAGGTGAGAACTTCTAATAACAAGGTTAGACTCTTGTGCAGGTTTATGAAAATATTCCATGAAATTTAATATATAATGAATAGTCATGGGGCATTTCTGCAGCAGTCTTAGCATGCAAATATGTGTCAGCCCAGCTGAATGATTATTTTCTTTGTGGACTTAAATTTCCACTTATAAATTATTATCAGAACAACCTAACATATTTCACTCCAGATGGTTATTTAAATGTCAAAGGTCATGTCCATGGAGAACACTTATCGAATGTTTTCCTTTATTATAATACATATGCTCAGCAATTTTGATATTGAATGTTGTCGCATAATTGACAGTCTCTGGCTCAAATTACCTCCTCCCCCAAATTTTCAGTGTTTGTTTAATCATTGAATTGGTTTCAGGTTGTAAATCAGTATAAATACAGGTCTATTGGAGTCAGAGTTCATCTTCTTTAATGCAGTTGCTTTATGGTTGTAGTGTCAGAGTTTCAGGGCAAATAATCACTGAATTAAAAATTGGGTCAATTATGGTTGGAGTCATAAAATACTGAGTCTGAGACTTGTTTAGCTGCAGTTCACTCTTCTCTGGTTTGGTTTTACCTTTTGAGTCAAACACAAT